TTCCAGGGGTATCCGACACCCTCTTCTGGCCTCCATGGGCATTGCAGACATGTGGTGCATTTAGAAACATGCAGGCAAAACACATATGCACATAAAATAACAATCATTTTTAAAAAACAAACAAGAGCAACAGGAACAGGCAGACTAGGTGTAGAGGTGGTGGTCACAGCACTGAGGTAAGCTGAGGCAAGAGGATAGCCACAAACTTGAGGCCAGATTGGTAGAGAGTGTCAAGTTAGCCTAGGCTATGTAGTAAAACCTTGTCTCAAAACACTAAAGAAAGGAAATGGAAAGAGAAAAGGGAAAGAAGAAAAAATAGAAAAGAAAAGGTAAATTAAAAAGAATATTTTATTTATTATTTTTATTTTATGCGTATGTGTGTATTGCCTGTATGTAGGTAAGTGCACCCATGTTGTACAATGCCCGCAAGGACAGAAGAGGCTGTCGGATCCCCTGGGACTGGAGTTATGGACAGTTAGCTGTCACGTGGGTGCTGGGATGCGAACCCGGGTCTTCTGTGAGAACAACCAATGTTCTTAACTGCTGAGCCATCTCTCCAGCCCCCCCCCCCAAAAAAAAGTGACTTTCTGGACAGGCACAGCCACTGCACAGCGTGCCCTTCAGCCTGGTCACTGGCATGAGATTTAGAAGGAAGACACCCCAAGGCCAGTGCTTCAGGGGTGCAGCTCACAGTCATCGCTCTTTTTGTTTGTTTTACTTTTTCCCTATTGTTTCAGGCACAGTTTGGCTTTTCCACATTAACTTACTGACTTCATCAAAGCTGGGGAAAGCCCCTCCTCTTGTCTCCTCATATTGGGGACATCTAGAATTTTATCTATACTGTGAACCTTAAAAAGCCTTAACAAACAAGTAGTTTTAGATATTGTTTAATTCTGTAGCCTAGGCTGGTCTTGGACTATGCAGCTCAGGCTGCCCTTAAATCCATGACAATCCTCAGCCTCAGCTTCCCCAGTCCTAGGACTGTTGTCTTCAGCAACCCCATGTGTATTGGCAAAAAAAAAAAAAAATCTCAAAAGACAGGGTGTCACTATAGCACCAGCTGACCTGGAACTCACTTTGTAGACCAGGGTAGCCTCAAACTCACAGAGATCTTCCTGCCTCACTCTCCCAAGTGCTGGGATTACAGGCATGCGCCACCATGCCCGGCTTGGCAAAAAAAAATCTTTAGCTAGGCATGGTGGCACATGCGTGCCATCTCAAGGCAGAGGTCAGAGGACAGTGTATGGAGGGCTCCACAATGATATACTAAGAAGAGGCTCCCAAAACAGACAGACATGGCATGCAGGCCTTTAAGCCTTTAATCCCAACACTTGGGAGGCAGAGGCAGGCAGATCTCAGTGAGATCAAGGCCAGCATGGTCGGCATGGGGAGTTTCCAGGCCATCTGGGGCTACAGGGAGACCTTGTCTCAAAAACAAAAACAAAACAAACAAAATATATCTCTAGGGGAGCGAGGATGAGAGAGAGAGAGAGAGAGAGAGAGAGAGGAGCAAAAGATGTTTAGTTTTGTTTTGAGACAGGCTCTCATGTAGCCCAGGCTGCCTTCAAATATGTATATGTATAGCCAAGGCTAGCCTTAAACTCCTCCTGAGCCTCCTGCCTCCACCTCCTGAGTGCTGGGTTGACATGTATGCACCACCACACCTGGCTGACCAAAATATGTTATATGCATGTATTAAAAAATACCAAAGGCCAGGCGTTGTGGTGCACGCCTTTAGTCCCAGCACTTGGGAGGCAGAGGCAGGCGGATCTCTGTGAGTTCGAGGATAGCCTGGTCTACATAGTGAGTTCCAGGCCAGCTGGGGCTAGAGGGAGACCCTGTTTCAAAAAGACTAAAAAATAAATAAATAAATATATATATACACACATATATAAATAAATAATACCAAAGACCATTAATTTGTAAGACATACATTAAAAATCGACAAGCCTCACCCCCCCCGACTGAAATGCATACACGCTGACTGGCAAGATGGCTCAGTGGGTAAAGGTGCTTGCTGTAAAGCTGAGTTCAGTCCCTCAGACGCTGATGGTAGAAGGAGAGAACCAGTGCCTACAAGTTGTCCTCTGACTTCAATGTGCGTGGTGCACGCACCTTCAATTCCAGCCCTTGGGAGGCAGAGGCAGGTGGATCTCTGTGAGATTGAAGCCTGCCTGGGTTACATAGGGAGTTCCAGGTCATCTGGAGCTATGGGGAGACCCTGTCTCAAATAAAATAGAATAAAATAATAAAATAAAAATTAAATAAAATATAAAGTAAAATAATAAAATGTGCCAGAAATTTTAAACACATACCCATCCACTCCCTATAACCACTTGTCCTCAGATCTCATGGTTCATGAAAATCAAGGCTATTGAAACTGAAGAGGTGAGTGTTCACTTCTGCTTTTACCACCACATAAATGAGGTTCGTGATTCCTAGAGTTCCCCCAGCCTCCACCTCCTTCTCTCTTTTCAGACAGGGCCTCAAGTAGCTCAGGCTGGCCTTGAGAACTCCTGCGAGAGCTAGGATGACAGGTGTAAGTCACCAAGCCTGGTCACTATCTGTTTTCTTTCCCTAGGACAGGACAGTTGTTAAACAGAAACCAAAATAGAATAGTTGATAGAATCATTTTGCACGCTTTTAATCCCAGTACTCTAGAGGCAGAGGCAGGCAGCTCTCTTTGAGATCAAAACCAGCCTGGTCTACAGAGTGAGTTCCAGGCCAACTGGGGCTACAGGAGACCCTGTCTCACAAAGATGAAAGGGAAAAGAAAAGAGACTAAAGAGACTAAGGACCCCAGGCAGAGCAAACACACTCAGCTGTAAATGAACGAGATATTTCAGGACTGCCAGCCTCAATAGCATAGGCCTAGAGTCCAAGTGGCTTTCCAGGTTATATGGGAGAACATTCGACCCTAGGAATTAGGGGCCAGCCTGGACAGCTTAGGGAGCCTCTGTCTCAGCCCAGTCAAGTGTAGCGGTTCATTCCTGTAATCTCAGCTCTCAGGATGCTGAGGCAGCAGTGAGGTCAGGACTATCCTGGGATACATGGTGAGTTCCAGGCCAGCCTGCACTATATACACGGAGACCATGGCCACTGCACCTGGCTCTTCCAGTATTTTTTAATCTCAAGAAAGCGCACCTAAACCCAGGCTTGGTGGTGTGCCTGCACTCCCAGGACTCAGGAGGAATAGGCAAGGGGCTGGGGAGTAACCTTAGCTCCACAGGGAGACCCTGTCTCAAAGAGGGAAAGAAAAGAAAAAAAGGCCTGTAAGATGACTCAGCTGGTAAAGGTGCTTGCAGCCAAGCCAGCTGGGGCTACAGGGAGACCCCCATCTCAAACAAAACAAAACAACAACAAAAAGCAACATTGGCCTATCTTTTTCCAGTTGAAGAGATAAATGTGTCAGAGATAAAGGAATCTGCTGCTAGGCAGGGCATGTTATCACAACTTACAAAACTACTTTTTCCATGTTTGGAAAAGCCTTTGGATATTTGATACCCCACATAGCTACTCAGTGATCTCTGTCTGCTGTGTGGGTATGGGTGGAGGACAGGGATGGATGTTGGGTGTGTTGGGGGGTGTCTTCCTCAATCTCTCTCCATCTTATTTTTGAGGCAGGGTTTCATTGAAACTGGCTCTCACCAACTAAGCCAGACTGGCTGCCCACAGAGCTCCAGGACTCCTCCTGTCTCTGTTTCCCCAGTGCTGGGATTCCAGGTTTGCAGCATGTGCCTGGCTTTTATGTGGGTGCTGGGGATTGGAACTCAGATCCTTAACACTTGACTGACTAAACTTCTCCCCAGTCCTACATCTGCTTTTTTCTGTTCGTCTTTTTGACACAGGGGCTCCCTGTAGCCCCAGCTGGCCCGGAACGCTCTATATACACCACGCTGGTCTCGGAACGTGGAAACACAGAGCCAGCAAGAGTGCTTTGGGAGGTCGCTGGCCCTCCCTGGTTGGGATCTGGGCGATCTGAGGCACTTTGGTGGGCCCGCTCAGGTGGGTGAGGACAAGGTGTGGGGATCCCCGGACGGGTGTCCTCCGGTGTCCCCTAGGAGTGACGGCAGCAGGGGGACTGGGGCAGGCTCAGGCCGCCCCAGGTCCCGCCTCCTGCAGGAGCCAAGGCAACAGCCCCACCCCACAGGGGCAACTTCCCGCAAACCCAGCTCCCGAGCCGCCTCCTCTTTCGCCCATAGGACGAGGGGAGTGACTCGAGGGTCGCCTGTTCCGGATGCACCCAATAGGAGCTCAGGGGTGGAACCAGGGCGGTGCCCAAGGGCACAAGGCACCCACCCCGGCAGGGGCAGGGTGTAGCTGTGAGGACCCTCTTCAAGTACAGCTTAGTGGGGAATCACAGATCAGGAACCCCAAGACTGCACAGCTGGGCCTTGAGTCTCCAAGGATGGTGATGGGGGAAGTCACCATCCGTCACCTGCTGCCTTGGAAGGCCCCCCTCCCCGTTTCCTCTGAACCCATCCAAAGTTCAAGCATCCTCCCTCCAGCCAAACACTTTTGTTTAAGTATTTTTTTTTATTTTATGTATTATGTTATTATGTGTATGAGTGTATTGCCTGCATGTGTGTAAGTGCACTCATGTCGTGCAAAGCCAGTGGAGGTCAGAAGAATCCAGATTCTCTGGAACTGGAGTTAGGGATGGTTGTTAGCCACCATGTGGGTGCTGGGAATCGAACCCTGATCTTCTGCAAGAACAGCACCCTTTGTTTTGTTTTTGATACAAGGTTAACTATGTAGCCCAGGCTGGCGTCGAACTCACAGAGATCCTCCTCGTTTTGCCTCTGGTATGAAAATAAAGGCACCACGACCCCTGGATCCTCAGCCACTTTTGAACGACCTCTTTCCAAGTTCTCACAATTTCACGTTTCTAATTCACTCCTCCCACCCCAAAATAAATACCCCCAGGGGCTCGACGAATTCGGGGGGCAAGGAGGGCTGCCAATCAACCAGCGAGGGTGCCTGGAGCAAGCGTTACTTACCTGTAGCCTCAGCAGCAGCTGCAGCAACAGCAGCTGCAAGGAGCAGAGTCCTGGTCCAGCGCAGCATCGGGTTCTCCTTCCTTAGCCTCTCTGCCGATAGCATCCCCAAGTGGGTCAGCGACCCCACAGTATCCCCACCGGAAGCGCACTCCGCTCTGCTCTCGGGCAGTCTACACGCACCGGGCCAGAGACATGCCCAGCACTCCGCGAGAGGTTAGCAGGCGAAGGAGGAGTCTGCAGTGGGGTGATTTTCAAAAGTCTACACCTCACTACAGGAGGAGGAGCGTCCAACGGCAGATGTGACATCGCTCTTTAACCCCTGAATCCCTGGCTAGGATTCCTGGTCAGTGAGAAGAACAGCTGATCCTTTGTAAGTTGGAAATTTCATTTCCTGAGAAACCCCAGGCACCTTTCCCCAATAGGGCATCCTTTCCCAGCCTCTCTTCATCTTTTGAGGTCTCCTTTTGCCCTCAGAGAAAACAGAAATTTGAAAATCCCCTCCTCCTTTTAGCAGTTTTCTCCTCTCTAAGAATCCTGTGTAGATTTCAGACCCAGGTATAGTGGTAGCTTTTAGACAGTTATTGGAAATTCAATTAGCAGGTGGATCTCTGTGAAATCCAGGCCAGTGTGGTCTACAGAGCTAGTTCCAGGACAACTGGTGCCACAGGCAGGTCCTGTCTTAATAATGCCCCCACCCCAAGAAAAACCCACAAAAAAACAGAATTATTTTGCCTTTTTTTCTTTTTTTTTTTCTTTTGGAGCTGAGGACCAAACCCAGGGCCTTGCACTCTACCACTGAGCTAAATCCCCAACCCTATAACAAGTAGAATTATAAACAGCACTCGGTGAGGAATCTAAATAAAATTTTCAGGAAGTGCTTATCAAAACTTGAGGGTTGATGAGATGACTCAGTGAGTAAAAGGCACTTGCAGTCAAGCCAAGGACTTGCATAGGAGCCGAGGAGTTCTATACCAAGGACTTGCATGGTAGAAGGCAAGAACTGACTAAACCTAGACAGCTAGTTGTCTTCTAATTCCCCAGGAATGCCCCCCACCCCCAGACACACAAGTAATTAAAAATAAGTGTTACTTGGTTTGGGGTGGAAGGATCCAGTAGTTGGAATAATTGTGAACAAAAACATTCCATAAATTAATAAGCCCCAAAGCGTTTGATGTAGACAAAAATACTGATTTAATCCAACAATCGGAGGGGACAGCTTCCACCTCCAAAGTAAAAACAGAACCAAACATGGCTTCTTTTCTCTGTTATTCTGGGTGTGTAAACCGCAGATGGCTGCTTCCCACAAACTTGTACTTTGAAGAATCAAAGGCTCTTAGGACTTGTGGCATGGGAAAGGGCACCTGTAGGGCTCAGTGGGTAAGAAGACTTCCTGTGCAAATGTGAGGACCTGAATTCAAATTTCCAGTACTTTTTAAAAGTGGGGAGGGGCCGGCAGCTAAGCCTGATGACCTGGGGACTACATGGTAGAAGGAGAGAACCCATTCCTCTGAGCTCTACACATGCACTGTCACACACACACACACACACACACACACACACACACACACACACGGCTCCTAGCTCAGATGTTTACCATGCACCAAAGCCCTGGGTTTCATCCTCAGCATACCATATAAACCAAGCATGCTGGCACAGGCCAGTCATCCAGCACTTGGGAGGTAGAAGCAGGGAATCAGAAGTCTGGAAGCCAGTGTGGGTGCCATGGGCCCTTATCACATGAAAAGATGTCAGGATGGGGGACAATGAGATGGCTCAGAAGGTAAAGGAGTTTGCTGTAAAGTTGGATGACCTGAATTAAATTCAGGGACTGACCTGGTGAGAGATGGCCCCTGCATTGTCTCCTGTAAGTCCCACCCTCCCCACATACACACACTAAATAAATATAAACAAACAACTAAATGGAGGCAGGAGAGTTGGCTTAGCCATTAAAAACAGTAGCTGCTCTTGAGAGGACCAGGGTTTAGTTCCCAGCACCTATATGGCAGCTGACAACTGTCCATAACTCCACTTCTAGGGGATCTGGTGCCCTCTTCTGACCGCCACAGGCATTACATCCATGCAGGCAAAACACTCATACATAATAATTATATTTTCTCTCTTGATTTTTGCTGTGTGTGATACATGTGTAGGCAAGTGTGTACATGTGTGTGGAGACTGGTGGTAATGTCAAGTGTCACACAGTCACCCATCACCTTATTTATTTTTATTACGATTATATATATATGTGTGTAGGCTCAAAGGATCCCCCCTTCCTCAGTCTCCTGAGTAGGGGGACAGCAGGCATGCAGCCCTGGGGAGCCCTCACTTCGTGTTCCCCGGTGGGCCCGAGAAGAGTCACCAAGAAGGACCCACAAGATCTCCAAAGCACAGGTTTGTCGTAGTGCCCTGACTGCACCATTGGACCTGGACGTTTTCGCAGGTGCCACCTGCCGAGGACATCTTCGAGGATCTCTGGCCCTAACACTCGTGGCTGTCTCCTCCACTGCCCTGGGACCCCAGGCTCAGTCTTTCCTTCCTTGCTTCTATTTCTTGAAGCTTCTATTGGCTCTCGAATAACTGGCTTAAGAGAGGATTAAGTGAGCCCATTCCAGGGGAGTGCCTGGTGCCTCACACAGGACACAAGTTCTGTATGGTTTTGAGCCTTTGGGCTCCTTTTATGTAATAAGTACTGTTGTGGAGTTTCTTTGCTTCTCTTCCTCCTAACAGAACTGACTCACCTTTTCCTGCTGTCTTCTTACTACAATCCATATTATGTGTTTTGTTTTGTAGGGTTTTTTTGTTTTTGTTTTGAGACAGGGTCTCCCTGTAGCCTCAGCTGTTCTGGAACTCTCTATGCAGACCAGGCTGGCCTTAAACTCACAAGGACCCAGCTGCCCTGCATCTGTCTCCTAAGTACTGGGATTAAAGGTGTGTGCTGCCACACCTTGAATTATCTTTAAAAAAAAATATTTTTTGTCATTTTGAGACAGGGTCTCCCTGCAGCCCCAGCTGGCCTGGAAATCAGAGATCTGCTTGCCTCTGCCTCCGGAGTACTAGGATTAAAGGCCTGTACCACCATGCCTGGCTTCTTTTTTTGTCTTTTTGAGACAGGGTCTCCCTGTAGCCCCAGCTGTCACTATGTAGACCAGGCTGGCCACAAACTCAAAGAGATCCACTTGCCTTTGCCTTGGGATTGCTGGGATTAAAGACATGTGCTATCACACCTGGCCCTTAAGGGCATTTTCTAATGATGGTATTTTATGACCCTTTCATCTGTTGTAGGGAATTGACACTGAAAGGCCCCCTGTAGCCCCAGCTGTCCTAGAACTCACTATGTAGACCAGGTTGGCCTCAAACCCACAAAGATCTGCTTGCCTCTGCCTCCCAAGTGCTGGGATTAAAGGCATGTGCCACCACGCCCAGCCTCATTTATTATTTTTATTTTATGTGTATGAGTGTGTTGCCTGCATGTATGTGAGTGCACCCATGTCGTGCAATGGCGTGGTCAGAAGAGGGCTTCGGATTCCTCTGGAACTGGAGTTAAGGATGGTTCGTAGCTGCCACATGGGTGCTGGGAATCGAACCCAGGTCCTCTGCAAGAGCAGTCAGTGCTCTTAACTGGTGATCATCTCTCCAGCCCCATCCTTTTAAAAAATTTTAAAAAATCATTTATTGCTGGGTCTTTAATCCCAGCACTTGAGAGACAGAGGCAAGAGGTTCTCTGTGAGTTCCAGGTCAGCCAGGCCTACATAGTGAGACCCTGTCTCAAAAAATTTATTTATTTATTATTGTGCATGATGTCTGTGTGTGGGCACACATGCCAAAGTACATGTGTGGAGGTGAGAGGCTACCTTCATGGAGTCAGCCCTCCCTTTCCACCTTCACCTGCATCCAGGGATGAAACTCTTCTCCAGGCTGGTGCAGCAGCTTCCTTTACCCACAGAGCCCTTTTGTCGGCCCTCACATGAGTTTGCTGTGACCCCTGAGCCTTCATACATACAAGACCCAGAGATAGCAAAATCTATCTCATGCTGACCTCAAAGCTGAGTGATAAAGGGAATGACAATGCTGGTAAGTCAGGTCTGGTCTTTTTTCTGCTGCATTCCTGTATCTTCAGAGATGAACACACCCCTCAGGGGAGAGGGGGGAGGGAGAACCCTGCAATCAGTCCTGTGACCTGTTGCCTAGGTCAGAAACAGGGGAGACGATTTTTTTTTTTTTTTTTAAGATAGTTTCTCCCTGTAGCCTCAGCTGGCCTGGAACTCACTACGTAGACCAGGCTGCCTCGAACTCACAGAGATCTGCCTGCCTCTGCATCCCAAGTGCTAGGACTAAAGGCATGTGCCACCACACCTGGCAGGGGAGACAAATTTTTACCTGTATGAGAATTTGCTATGTAGCTCAACCTAGCTGGAACCATAGTGCCACCCCACCACTCCTGTTCAGGATAACTGAAATGACAAACCAACTCCATTTTAGTCTAGTTCAATTTTGCTTTAGCCTATGTTTCTGCCCAACCACCCCCTTGCTCATGCTTGCTAATTGCAGACAGTCAGACAGGTCTCATGTAGGTAGTTTGGGGGGGTACCTTGTTTTTACAATAATCAGGAGCTTATAACTAGCCAGGTAGGGTGTCTCCAGGAAGCCCATTGTTTCTGCAATTCACCACACCATGCTGGCTCTGTTTCTACAACTGTGAGAAACTTGTTTTTCCTAACTGAAACTTAGAAACTTTTTGTTAACTGAAAACTTCATAGTATCCTGGTCTGGGGTAAGTATGATGATCTGATGCAACTATGGTTACTGGCTTTGCCCTTGACATGATGTATTTGTGGTTTTAAGCTTTATAAACCTTGCTCTGCTTCTCCTCAGGGCTGAGAGATCTTTTGGGTGTTAGCCCCCTCTTGACCACTGGATAATTATTAAAGGACTCTAAATTCAGCCATCACTATCCTTCTGTGCCTCTTGCTCAGTATTACAATAAAAACTTTATTTGAAATTAACTCCCTAAGATGGGGAACAAGGCAAGGATGAATATATATATATATAAATATTGTGAGACCCCTGTAGCCTCACTGGCCAAGAACTTGTAGTCCAGGCTTGTCTCACAGAGATCTATCTACTTCTGCTTCCCAAGTACTGAAATTAAATGCACCACCACACTCAACTTGAAACAGAAATTTATTTTTTTGTGTATGAATATTTTGATTGCAAGCATGTAAGTGCACTACATGTGTA